CAGCAGCAGGGGCGGGCGGGCGGGCTGCCCCTTCCGAGGGGCCCGGAGCCGGTCCGTGCGAGCTGCAACCAGCCCAGCTGCACTCCGCTTTGCGCGGCTGCTGCTGTCTCCCCAGCTGCCTGCACACGCACTTCTCGTACGGGGAGAGGTGCCGGTGTGAACGCAGCCCCTTGCACGCAGTGCTCTAAAACACTAATATAAAGTAATGCACGGTAAAGATGCAGCCCGTGTAAATGAAGATACCGGGCTTCTGCTTCTGTAAGACTGGTATGGGGTATATACATGTATGTCTACCATAGCTATCTATATATCTACACTATATATCTATTTATGTATACACTATGTATTTATATATATACCTACACTATCTATCTATACACGCATTATATATCTCTCTATATGTATACACTATGTATTTATGTATACACACTATATATCTATTTATATCTACACTATATATATGTATACACTATATTCATATATACCTACCCTATCTAGCTATCTATACCTACACTATATATATACACACACTATATCTATTTATATATACTCTAAAACTATATATAGAAAATTTAGAGTTTTAGTGTGTGTGTGTGTGTGTGTGTGTGTGTGTATATATATATATATATATATATATGCATACTGCTTAATGATATATATGTAGCATTATAGTGATAGATGGCATATCTACATCTATAAGACTGATATATTAGGCATATGTTATAGTAATAGCATATCTTTATAAGGCTAATATATAGTGTAATATATATTATAGTGATATAGTAGATCTACATCTATAGGACTTATCTATAGAATATATAAAATAGTATAGTAAGGTATAGCAATATCTAGTATAATCTTTAAGACTAATTAGTGTGTGTGTGTGTATATATATTTTTTATTAATATATATTTTCAGCCTCTTGAAGGCTCAGATCAAATGTAATATGTAAATGTAACCTTTAAGGCAAATATGTAGTGCACGTATTTATTATATATTGTAGTAATATATAGTACTATGTAGTCTGTAGATCTGTAACTAGTATATAGAGCACATTATAGTAATACGTGTATCTCTGCCTAGAAGGCGAATCGCTGGTATATTATGTTCTCGGTAGTGTAACATTTATATCAGTGCAGCAAGGGGGCTGGTTTCTCCGCACTGACAACAAATCCTTGGCCCCAACCCCAAGCTGGGAGAGGGGTCGAAGTGATCCTTGTGTGTGTCTGTGTCCGTGTCGGTGTCTGCGCCTCCAGCAGCCCCGTTCCCGCAGCTCCCCGCGCTGAGCTGGGCTCCAGAGGGCTTGAATTCCCAGCCCGTCCCAGGGCTGCTGGAGACCCTGCCCAGCCAGGGGACTGCAGAGGGGACACAGACAGGGGTGCGGTGGACAACGGGCCATGGGGAGCGAGCGAGCGGGCTGGCAGGGCGTGCGGCCCGGTGGCAGGGCCCAATCCTGGCTAACCCACTGTGTCCGTCCTGCAGGCAGACGTCGCGCGGCCCGTCGCAGCGCCATGGGACGCGCCCAGCCCGGGGGGCCCTGCTCCGCCTGAGCCCGCGCGGGAGGAGGATGGCTGGCCGCGGGGCTACCAGCACCTCTGCAGCCCGGCAAGTACCTGGCATCTGGCATCAGCCTCCACTCGCTTCCAGGTAAGGACCTGGCCCCGGCTGTGGGGGGGGGCTGTACTGGGGCTGGGAGGGGAAACATCTGCAAGCGCATTGGGTCCCGGCGGGTGGCGGGGG